GCGTGTGTTCTGTTGTACATAGGGTTTTCAGAGGCCTGCTATTTCAGAAGTGGGTGGCCAATCCTTCTTCCTAGTCTGTCTTAATCTGAATGTTCATATTTAGAGGAGGCACACAGATCAAATCTACCAGCTGCTCTAAGGCAGAAAGATGGGCAGTTTCTTCCCATGTGATTTACTGCCTCTGATAACTAGAGGCTTGGCTATGAGTCAGTTCCAACTCCATGTTACCTAATAACAACCACTCTTTTTGAGCTGTGAAAGATTGGATCATAGAAATATAGCTGTACTGCTAATCCACAGGCACACAGATCACATACACCAGTTGCTCTGCAGGAGAAAGATGGGCAGTCTCCTCCTGGGCTGTTAACTGTCTCTGAAAGCCTGCTAGAGGGTCAGCTGTGGGTCAGTTCTAACTCTATGGTACACAACCACAGAGTCGTGCTTATAGCAGCATGATTAATACTGGAAATTACATCTATTGTGATTCTTATAGGCCTCTATTTAAGCTAAAGAGTTTTATCTGTTGTCATCTTGGAATTTTAACTAAAAATATAAAATAAAATATAAAATTTTAAATTTACCCTGTGTATTGTCCACATGCTATTACCATAATTCTTTTAGTGTGGAAAATTATTGCTAGCTTCTAAAATCGTGCCTCCCTGACCATTTAGCATGTTACAAATATTAAGTACAATTGGTAAATTTCTCTATATAAAAATATTCATTGGATCTTTTTCTTGTAGCAGATACTTTCCTAGGTGCTTTGGGAAGAAAAGACTGATTGGCTCAAAATAGTGATTTTTTTTTTTTTACTTTCTTGCAATCAGACTCAAACTTGTTGCTGTCAAGTTGGACCGACTCATAGCTGACTATATAGCAAGTTTTCAGAGGCTGTAAATTTCACAGAAGGTCTTTGCCCTGTAAGGGGCAAAGAATGTAAGGGGTTGTATTATTGCCATGTGGCTATGTGCCTTGCACATAAAGATGTCTTCAGAAGGAAGGTTGCAAGCAGCTCTCATGAGGCACTCTGAGAAAGAGGACTGCAAGCAGTTCCCATGCATGTTTAGACACTAATTCTTGTGAGAGTAGAAACAAATGTTTCTGCTCTTGATAAAGTTGTTACAAATGTAAGAAAGCACAGTTTATGAATACAAAGAAGTCTTGTTTGAATGTATGTTTTTTATTTAACTCTGTACCCGGCAGAGTTGGGCCCTGTGATGTAAACTGCTGTGACCCTGTATTCTGTTTCTCTGGGAGATATGTGATTAGGTTATTTCTATGTCTGATTACCTGGAAGAAATGACAAATAAGGATGCAACACATAACATGTAGAGACAGGACGGGACTGGAGCCACACAGCACAAAAGACAAGTCAAGACACTAATGGGACAAGAGCTGCCAGAGAGCGGCTGCATCCTTTATTATTTATATCTTTTAGAAACAAAGAGATAGTTCACAGAGAAATGGAAACCTTAAGGATTAGATCAAATGGGATTAGACCCAAATGGGCCGGGTACAAGTAGAAACATGATTTATCTCACAGGGCCCAAATGGACTGAAATCTGAGTCCCCAGGAATCAGGACAATAGGCTCTTGACAAATAATCACTGAACAACATATTGTGCACAGTCTACTTCTGAATAAAACTTGCTACAACTAATATAACTGCAGCTGCCATGCAACTGCAGAGAACAAAGGAATATTCATATATCAGGAAAAGTGGAACTACTCGTATGCAAGTTCA